GCAGAAGGCGTATGATGAGTTGTATGGGAGGCTGGACACTAAAGAAGGTGAGTAGGATTTGTACTGATTGGCAAGACAGAGGAATCAGGCTGAAAAAGATGTGCAGCAGATTAGGCTTGTTAAAGATGGGAATTATAATTTTCTAACAAGTGAGGAGTGTGATGAGAAGATGGAAGGAGTACTTTGAAGAGCTAAAAATAAATTAGGAGAATGACAAAGAAAGAAGAGTAGAGATCAGCAAAACTGTGGATCAGGAAGTGGGAAAGATTAGGAAGGGTGAAGTCTGAAAAGCTCTGAAAATAATGAAGGAAAGGACCTGATGACATACCATTGGATGTTTGGAAATGTCTTGGAGAAATGGCAGTGAGGTTTTTGACTCAAATATTAAATGGCATACTTGAGAGTGAAAGAATAACTGAGGAATGGAGAAGAAGTGTGCTGGTGCCCATTTTTAAGAACAAGGGTGATGTACAAAGTTGTAGCAACTACAAGGGAATTAAGTTAATGAGTCACACAAAGAAGATCTGGGAGATAATTTTGGAAGCAATACTTAGATGAGAGGTGACTATTTGTAAGCAACAATATGGTTTCATGTCTAGAAAGAGTACCACAAATGCCATCTTTGCCTTGAGAATGCTGATGGAGAAGTACAGAGGGGGTTTCTGACCCTCTCTGTTCTGACGCAACCACAGACCACCGAGCTACTACAGCCCTCTGTGTGGAGCAGAGAGAGCATCTAAGACACACAGGGGAGCAGATGGTAGGGGTCAAGGGCCTTGCTCAAGGGCCCAGAGTGGGGCAAATGAGGGTGGAGGCAGGTGTGGGTGCTTCACCCATCCCACCCACATTTAGATGTCAGTACCGGGAGTTGAACAGTGATCTTACGATCACAGGCCCATATTCTCTTACCTTTGTGCCACCACTCCCAAAAAGATTCACATTCTAACTAGTAAAAAGACTGCAATAGGAAGATGGGAGTACTCTGAAGAGCTAATAAATGAAAAGAATGAAAGTGTGTGTGTGTGTGTGTGTGGGGGGGGGGGGGGGGGGGGACGTGAGTAGGGTTCATAGAAACTGTGGACCAGGGAGTGGGAAAAATTAATGAGGATGAAGTTCAGTAACCTCTGACGTATATGAAAAAGAAGAAAGCAGTTGGACCTGATAACATACCAGGGGAGGTCAGAAACATCTAGGAGATGGCAGTGAGGTTTTAGACCTGATTTATTAAATGGCATTTTTGAGTAAGATGAATGGACAAGTGTACTGGTGCCCACTTTTAAGAACAAGGGTTATGTACAGAGTTATAGCAACTACAGGGAAATTAAGGTGAAGAGCCAAATGAAGATCTGGTAGTTTTGGAAGAAAGACTTTTAGACAAGTGACCATTTGTGAGCAGCAGAATGGTTTCAAGCCAGTAAAGAGCATCACAGATGCCTTCTTTGCTTTGAGGATGCTTGAAGAGAAGAAGATAGAGGGTTAGAAAGAATTCCATTGTGTCTTTGTGGATTTAGAAAAAGCATATGACAGGGTGCCGAGGGAGGAGGTGTGGTATTGCATGAGGAAATCTGGAGTTGCAAAGAAGTATGTTTAAACTAACTAGTATAGGATATGCATAAGGACAGCAGGATAGTGGTGAGATGTGTTGTAGGAGTGACAGATACTGTCGCTTCAAAGTGGAGGTGGGATTGCATCAAGGATTGGCTTGAGCCCCTTCTTGTTTGCTCTGGTGATGGACCGACTAATAGATGAGGTCAGGTAGGAATCCTTGTGGACTTTGTTTGCAGAGGACAACTTTTGTGAGAACAGGGAAGAGGTGTGGAAGAGAACTTGGAGAGGTGGTGGTGTTCACTTGAAAGAGAAATGAAAATCAGCCGTAATAAGACAGAGTATGTGTGTTAATGAGAGAGGCCAGTGGAACAGTGAGGCTACAAGGAGCAGAGGTCACAAAGGTGCAGGACTTCAAGTACTTGGGGTCCACTGTCCAAGAAAATAGAGTGTGTGGTAAAGAGGTGAAAAATAGTGTCCAGGCAGGATGGAATGGATAGAGAAAAGTTTCAGGAGTGATTTGTGACAAAAGGTTGTCAGCAAATGGCAAAGGAAAAGTTTACAAGACAGCTGTGAGACCAGCTATGTTGTACGGTCTGGAGACAGTGACATTGACCAAAAAAAAAAAAAAGACAGAATAAAAAAAACTGAAGTGGCTGAGCTGAAGATGATGTTCTCTATGGGAGTGACAAGGGTGGATATGACTAAAAATGAGACATTTAAACACAGGTTGAACGTCTGGGAGATAGAGAGGCCAGACTGATGTGGTTTGGACATGTCCAGAGGACGGACATTGGGTACATTGGTAGAAGGATGTTAGAAATGAAGCTGCCAGGAGAAAAAAAACAAAGAGTAAGGCGAAAGAGGACACAGATAGTTAGAGAGGACATGAAAGTAGTTGGAGTGAGGACATAGGATGCAGAAGACAGAGTGGGATAGAGGATGATGACCGAGAAGCCCATAAGATGGAACAGCCGGGGGGGGGCATCATACAGTTGCTTCAGATTTGTCAGCTGCACATCTATGATGTGAAATCTTCTTTTCCACCACATCCCAAAGTTGTTCTAAGGGACTGAGATCTGGTGACTGTGGAAGCCACTGGAGTTCAATTAATTGAGACTCATGAGAACAGGCAATGTCCTGATGCATGTTCAATAATCCAGGTAGATAAATCTAACAAGGTTGAGTCAGGTTTTCTGGACATATTCTTCTTTGCTGAAACGTTTCATCTTTTATCCAAAAGACTTCTGGAAGTCTTTTGGATGAAAGACAGAATGTTACAACAAAGAAGAATCAATCTAGAGAACCTGATTCAACCTTGTTAGAGCAGACAATGTTTTTCAATCATTTTCCTATGGTTAAGAGTCTGTGTAAACTGTAGTCTTAGTTCTGCTACAAAGTTTGAAGTGTGTTCAGAGATGGTATTCTGTATAAATTTGCAAGTAGTTATTTATTTAACCAGTCTGCCCGTTCTCCTCTGACCTCTGATATTAATAGGGCTTTTGTTGTCCACACAAATGCCACTCAATGGCCAATTTTCCTCTTTATTAGCTATTCTCTTTTAACACTAGAGATGGTAGTGTGCAAAAATCCCAGATCAGCCATTTCTAAAATACTCAAACAAGCCCGTCTTACACAAATGTAACCAAAGTCCCAGCTTGAAGAGTTCTGTTAAAGTGCCTAATTCTTCAGGTTACAAAAGAGGCTTATGGTTAAAAACTGATGGAACCACCGATAACCCTGGTTTTCGTGATAGTGACACATTCAGCAATAAAAGAAGAAGAAGCATTTAAATAGATTCACAACTTATCTTGCAACCATTCAAATAACCCTTTGTCCCTTGTGAACTGAACATGTCTTAATTGCTTATTTTAATGTTAACTTCATGTGACATCATCACAATCATTTGTTCAAAGTTTCAAAAATTGTGCGTGCGTATATATATATATATATATATATATATATATATATATATATATA